GGTTTAATCTGTGAGTTAGCCGTGCCCTGACCTGATCTAACACAGGTTTTTTCAGGGTTTGATCTGTGAGTTAGCTGTGCCGTGACTTAAATCAACCCACTAGGCTCATCAATATCATTTGAATGTTGTATCTGAGTTTACCTACCCGTATAATATAATGGACCAAAGGCAAAGCCACTTCCAGTCCCTCCACAGTAGGCACTGACGGCAGCTTGATGGAAGAAAACAGTGAGTGACAGGAAGCAGGTTTCAGCAATACCACCACCAAGGGAAATCAAACAAATGCCTATTAGCTTTTCCAAGATATTTTCGCCTAGTGATACYAAGAGTATGCCTGTTGTAGTAAGTACTGTCATTAAAATCACTCTGACTGTCGGAGAAACGAATTGGTTGACATGGGGAGCAAGCAAAGTGACGAGAAAGAACGGAATAGACGCGCAGAGAAGAACAGAAGATGTTGGGATGGATGTTCCGGCCAAAATGTCCTGTGCGGCTGATATTCCAAGGAAAAGCACGGTAAAGACGAGTAATCCAAGTATAGAAAAGATAACAGCATTCTTTGTGCGTACTTTTGATTGTGTCGACTGTGGATCTTCTGACTCATCTTCTGACTCATCTTTATCTCCACTGATGTAGTCTTTATCAGTTTTATTGCCCATTGCTTTGCCCCTCAATCAAGTGTCTCTCTTTCAATCTCTATTGACGATTTGCTGTTGAAAAATATTTCAAACAAAATGTGTATTATTTCACGTCATAGGAATTTTTGCATGACTCATATTCGGTTTAGTTTAGTCAGGAGAAGAAAGTCAAATTTTTATTGACTTGGGAGTTGAAGTAGTGTTTAAAAAACAAGTAGGAGTGTTTTATCAGGTATAAAAGCACGAGGCGTAGCTGAGTGCTTTTATACCTGATAAAACACGATCTACGAGTTTTTTGAACTGCTTAAAACACTAATGAACAATTTATAAGATTTTGGTTCAACTGGAGCCATCATACACGTCACGAACATGGATTTTTATACTTCGATAGAGATTTGACGTCATGGGCATGCGCAACCAGATTCAATAGAAACTCCCACACGTTGGATATTGCGTGCCAAGGCAAAGACAGGCACGTTAGTCAAAGATCATTAGGGTTGACTATGGCCTTGATGAAGCTCTATGTCTTCATCTAAACTTGGATGCATACTTCATCCCTGATGAAGTCATCCTCATAGTATTCGAGTGGTCTTTATATAAAGATCRCATGTGTCTTTATATAAAATCACTTGAATACTAATGAAGAGGACTTTATCGGGTATAAAGGTTCATGCACGTGACGTGTATGGTGGCTCCAATTGGAC